AGGCCATCGCCAGACCAGTTCATTTTTGTACTATGTAGGCACCAAGAACAGGCAGAGTCTTGGTCCTTGCAGAGCACATTGGATGGTCCATGTGCTCAAGATGTCATAGCTCTGTAAATGGGACTTCCCTGGGAGAGAAGAGTCGAGTGGAGAATTTGGCCCAGTATGTGAGCACAGGCTGCATTGAGGGTTAGCTTTGTGCAACAAAACAAATGAATTAGCAGTGGCCAAAACTATGCATCTTTTCTCTATGTATCAGCACAATATTAAATAAATTACTGTTGCTGTCAAAGCACAACGAAGCTCAGATCTCGCCTTTACAGATTCAGCCATGATAATCAGCAAGAACTGGGGAGGAAAAGAAAGGAGGGAATTGTTCCATAGAAATACCTTCCCCACATGTTTTCCCAGACCCCAGGGTTTCACACAAAGCAGAACAAATCACACCCTTAGCAGTTCTGTTCAATTCCACACAGCTGCATGCTGCAGGTGGTGCCCTAAAAATATGTTTGTTTATTTTGCAGCACTGCAGGCTGCAAAGCTGCATTATAGAATGAAATAGATTCCCCTCCTTCACATTCTGTCTTCTTCACTTTGAACCCCTCTCTTTTTTTAACTTGCTGGAAGAAGATGGTAAGACGTAGAGATAAAGTGATAGTGAACAAAATCGGAGGTATTGGTATGGAGTAGAGAGTGAAAACTCCCAAGCATGGTGTGTGGCACTGAGATTTTGGTGGTGTGTCACTTCAGAGAGGCAACTACCTCAATAATTGAGTGAAAACTCAGTGGAAGTTTCTCAAAATAGGTTTTCACAAATGTGAAAAGAAAAATCAGACAGCAGCTGATCAAGAAGTAATACACTGACAGGGGAATGGCTACAAGAAAGACGTAAGTGTACATTAGATGGTCATTTTCTATGTCTGTGATAGAAGGGTTGATCTACTGATAGGCTCTACAGAGGCTGTAGTCTTCCACCAGCATCACCCAATGCACTAAGTGCTCTGTGTCATGTGAAAAAGCAGCAGTTGTGGCCACTCTGCAGCACTTATTATCACTGTGGGTGATTCCAGCCCTGCTTTGCATACATAAATGCTAAATACCCAAACTGGGATAATCCTTGTTTTATGAGAGCATTTTTCTGCACACATTAGTTCGCAAATATTTTTTCCCCATTTTGAAGATTTTCTAAACTATGAGCATTTAGCTGGTCAAAATATAGAGACGACCAAACTGAACTTTATGTTACGTCTTTAGTGTGAGTTAACTAGCAATTTTGTCCAGTTGTTTGTTTATCCTGAGCAAAATACACTCCTCAGGAGAAGCTGGCAAAATATTTGTGCATCGTCTCTTTACTCTCTAAGGCTGATATTACACAATGAACACCACAACTCTGCACACTGGTGGCTCTCCTGACCATTGGGATCTTTTAACCTTCCAGTTGCTTTAAATACTAAGTTTAAGCAGTAGGGGAAATGAAAATTCTCAAAAATTTCACTCTAAAAAAAAGTAAAATCTGTGTTGACTTGCATAAAATTAGCAGCAGCATTTGTATGGTTCACAATCTGGTGCTGTTTGCTTCTAGGACATGTTCCTCTCGAGAGAGAAGGTGTCTTGGAGACTATGAGCTTTCTGCACCTCCTCAGCAGAGTATCTGTCTGCAATCCTTGAAATATTCCACAGCCCACCTTAAGAATGTTTCTTTTTTTTTTTTTTTAAATATAAACCATGGGTCTTTATAGCTTTTGTCTTATCTGTCATATTCTTTCTACTAAGTAATCCACAGCAAACATCACATCTATGTGAAACCTAACCTTTTGTAGCTTACTGGTAAGCTGTACAAAATACACTCAGTATAATGTTTTCAAAGGCTGATATAAGCAATCTGCAATGAAGCTGAATGTCTTTGTAACTTTTTATCAGTAGGCAGTAGAAAACATCCTTAAAAACATGCTGCAGTGCCACCAGTCTGTGAAAAAGTCAAGATCACATTAGCTTGATCATTGTCACGAACATACAGAAGTAGAAACAGAAAGCAAGTAACCAATTTGTAGGTTGCAATTTATAGTTTTACAGTTAGACTGCAAGATCCACTTAAGTGCCCATAAAAGAAAATTGAAAGGAAAGATTAATTTCTTTCTACTAACTGGAGATAAATCTGATCTAAGGCTTGGGTTTGTTGAGAGCTAGTTTGCTGAAAACCAAGCATTATCTGCTCTTCTAAGGTTGTGTTATATGTCAGTGAGCAGTACGAGGTAATTCCACTGTTTCTCACCACATTTAATATAATAGTGAAATTTATGCTAGCATTTCTATTAGAAGAAGAACCCCATGCCCACAACTGGAAGTGTGAAAATGATGTAAACATTAAAGTTGCAAGCACTAAGTCTGGAAAATTAACCCATACTTATACCGTTTAGCTCTTTACCTATGATAATCACCTTTGCAGTAAAATGAATGGAAATATAAAACCAGCTGTAGCTGGCTTCAGCTAGTGGATTAGCAATGGTTTGTTATTCTGAAATATGCCTCTGGCTTGCAAAGAATGACCTTATCTAGAAATACAGCTCTATTTAGACACAGACATGCAAAAAACCTTGTTGCATCAGGAAAAGAATTGAGCTTGAACCATATATTCCTTGAGTTTACTGTTCATCATTCATTATGTACAAAAAAATAAGGCAGAAAAATAAGCCTGGATATCTCCTTTGGAGGGCTTGAGGGTAGGAAGGCTCTACAGAGGGATCTGGACAGGCTGGATCGATGGGCCAAGATCAACATTATGAAGTTTAACAAGGCCAAGTGCTGGGTCCTGCACTTGGATAACAACCACCCCATGCAGCGCTTCAGGCTTGGGGATGAGTGGCTGGAGAGCTGCCTGGTGGAAAAGGACCTGGGGGTGCTGATTGACAGCTGGCTGAACATGAGCCGGCAGTGTGCCCAGGCGGCTAAGAAGGCCAACAGCATCCTGGGTTGTATCAGAAATAGCGTGGGTAGCAGGAGTAGGGAAGTGATCGTGCCCCTGTACTTGGCACTGGTGAGGCTACACTTCGAATCCTGTGTGAAGTTTTGGAGCCTTCACTACAAGAAAGACATTGAGGTGCTGGAGCATGTCCAGAGAAGGGCAACGAAGCTGGTGAAGGGCCTGGTGAGCAGGTCTTAGGAGGAGCGGCCGAGGGAACTGGGGTTGTTCAGCCTGGAGAAGAGGAGGCTGAGGGGAGACCTTATCGCGCTCTACAACTACTTGAAAGGAGGTTGTAATGAGGTGAGGGTCAGTCTCTCTTCTCAAGTAATAAGACAAGAGGAAACAGCCTCAAGTTGCGCCAGGGGAGGTTTAGATTGGACATTAGGAAGAATTTCTTCCCCAAAAGGGATGCCAAGCATTGGAACAGGATGCCTGGGGAAGTGGTGGAGTCACCATCCCTGGAGATATTTAAAAGAAGTGAAGATGTGTTGCTTAGGGCCATGGTTTAGTAGTGGACTTGGCAGTGATAGGTTTACGGTTGGACTTGATGATCTCAAGGGTCTTTTCCAAGATAAACGATTCTATGATTCTATGAGTTAAGCTTGAGTGATAATTGCTTGTAAATAAAATTGTAAAGCTATTTTATTTACTTATTCACACTGATTTTGTTGCATTTTTCTCTTTGTCTCTTTTGCACCAGCTGTAGTTTGTCAAAATTGCAGGTGTGAACTATCTGGAGCAAGGGCTGCTTTTATCTTCCAGACCTATCTAGTGCCTGCCTTACTACCTGCTTGGTCAGGGTCCTTTTGTTCTACTACAACATGGCAAGATGAAGAGCACAGAGAAGACCTGGGAGTGTTCCAGTGAAGGGAGGTAGCTGGGCTTTCAGGTGAATCAGTCACTAACCTTTTACATGCAGAGCCCCCACGGAGATGTATTGACACAGAGATATATTGTCCTGAACTCACCTGGTACTTGGCCATTTACACCTAGGCTGGGGAACAGACAGATGGAAAAGCTGCTCACGTTTTGGGTAGCTGAGGGCCACTGTCCAACCACCTTACATTAACTTCTGGATCTAGCTAACAAATTGCCTCTCTCTTTGCCAGTAAGGTCCATTTTTGGACAAAATATTGGAATATCTTGAACAAAAAATTTATATAGAGGGAGTCATCTACAGAGGCACTAGTCCAAATTTTAAGTATAGTAACAGTTTTATTTGCAATCATGTGCATCTCCACCTGGGCATATACATCTACATATCACTAGAGCAAACATAAAAATGCAGATTGTCATTCAATGTAATTAATTCAGTGTTTATGTCATCTTTTCACCTAGACTAAGAGAGCACACAAGGCAAAATGATTAATACAGGTAAATATGGTTGAAAAATCTATCAATTTCCCCCAAACAAGCTGTTTTTTTTCCTTATATATATATTTTTTTTTTTTCAGTGTAACACTGGATTCTTATCCTCCTAAAAATATTAAAGATTTCTGGGTTTGATTTTCATACAAGTACAACATTTTCTTCTTTTGGGAAGAACCTTTCCAATTCTCTACCAGTGCATATTGATTAATATAGCTAAAGATAGCTTGATCAGTTTTGAGTCCTGTGAACTGATCACTGAATCTATTTTTACTGCTGAAAACTTCTCCTTCATTTTGGCTTTTCTTTGATGTTCGATTTGGCTTTCACAACAATAGCTGTAACTTCTTATTATGTCGCAGCTTGAATCCTATAGTGTAATTTGAATGTAACCTGCTACAAATTATTTGTAGCATGGTCAATGGTCAGAATGGAGGCCAGGAAAACCTGTCACATCAGCAGTTCTCGCAGCAATAAACATGTATGCTGGAGCTTTTCATGTACAGTTGCCTTCAACTAGCTGCAAGACAACAGAGTTTCATGACAAAACCAACACTTAGAGCCAGGGTTTGTGAATGAATGCCACAATACACTGCTGTTCTGGTAATGATGTTCAGCAAGAAGAAATCTAGGAAGAGCAGTGGAAGTGAAGCTGCTTGTAAACACTTACTGCAAGGAAGATCTGAAGAGAACTGTGAGCCACTTCTATGTACTGATATTCAAGAAAACACCCCGAGACAGTGATATAACGATGATCCTCTGGTGCCCAGTCTGGTGCTGGGGTTACTGAGGTCACAGTGCAGCCTGGCCCATTCTCCATCCACCAAGAACGATGCATTGAGATATTAAAGGTCAGGATGAGATCTGTTTCCTGCAAAAGAACAAGTGAAGAATTAATGCACTGGGATGGCACTCCGGTATCAAATGTCTCAGCAAGAGATTTCACAGCATGCAGAAAGAAGCAAAGAGCAGGGATAAAACTGCACTGTGACATGAAAATTAGTGGAGTAGTAGCTGTACCTGGGCAGGCAGAATTGCTTTGGAGCAGAAGAATAATCCTGCAAGACAGGATTTGTTCCTAGACTTTACGGTAGCCTAGACTATAGCAGTCATTTCTGTTACATTGCTCATTTTTCTATGGAAACCTAAGGACTGATGGAGGTGCATATTTATACACCAACCCTCCTCTCATCAGTTCCTAGAAATACAGCTCATATTTTAGTGTCCAATGTACCAAACTAGACAAAACTCCTCAGGAACCAAGACTCCATAGACTTTAATATATGTGGGTCACCTGCAAGGAGTTTTGTATCATGGACCTTGCAAAGCAGGCTTGTGGTAGCTCTACTGAAATACTGGAGAAGGTACAAAAAAAGGATTCTGTACTTTTGCTTACAAGCAAAACCTCTTTGGCATGCCTCTCTCAGATTTCTAGCTTCCTAGGAATCTGTAAGAAACAGCTAGTGAATGTTGCCTTGTCTAAAGACTGCTTAGCTTGTTAAAAGGAGGGGGCAGAGGCCTGCAACCTTTAACTCCCATGCAGCTAGTGCAATGCAGTAACTAGTCAGCCATGCTTTCCATTAAGATTGCATTTATAAATAGTTCATAAAGAATTAATAAATGATTAATATACATCATAAACAATACTATGGATATGACTTTCATAAATTATACTTGGTTGCACATTACTTGAGGGTGTTATACACAGTTATAACAAAACTATGGACTTTGTGGATTCTGTAATAGCCTACAGTGTTTACCAACCCTTTATAAAGAATTTATAAGTGTAACCTCATTGTAAAGTATGACTATCTTGTCTGTGTGCACATGTGCTCAGTCACGCAAAAAATATTGCTTTTAAGTAATGTCTTTGCAAAGCCAAACTCTCCCCACACCTGACCTACATTTTTTTCAGCCTGTTGATGACATTAATAATTAAGATTCTCATAAAGATTTTAAAATGTAACTATTTAATTAGGTTTACTGTGCCAAAAGGAATAGAATGCCATTCTGTAGCAGATATGTTGTGTCCACATTTCCCTGACTCCAAAAATAGTCATTTTTTCAGTCCCACTTGTTTTCCCTTTTGCACTAACTCATGCAAAGTTAACTCTATCCAGAGAGGTTTTGGATAATGTCATGACTGACAGGTCAATCGATCCATGGTTGTACTTGACACTGTAGTGTAGCTGAATGTTTTTTCTTTAGGTTGCAGTTCTTGTCTTAAAGTGTAGAAATTTTGTACATTTTAAAAAAATCAATTACTACCCTGCATAAGCCCACCCAGCTATCAGATGGAAGGAAGGACCATAAATGTTTTTGCAATTAATAATTACCCTATATAATTACCCTACATTCTCACAACACCCCAATCCAGCAAATAATAATCTGTACGAGAAAATGTAAGATGCTTCACATGAATTTATTCATGTAACTAACTTCAAGCATTTGAAGGTAATTAAAGCAACAGTGAACATTTGTATAAACTACGCAAATTTCCCCAAAATAGATCTATTTACCTACAGCTATAAGTTTTCACCCTCAACAAACCTCTCTTTTCTCTGGACCCATCCTCACCAAAGCTGCAGACACTGGAAAGTGTCTACCAGATATTTCTTGGAAATGTGCATTTTTACCTTACATCCAAGCCAGAAGATTATTTTTCTTTCTGGAGTCAGGGTTGTTATGGCCCCTCAGTAGCACACTGGCCTTCTTGACTAGTGTAAGAAGTTGAAGAATGGGTAACTTTGGAGTAACTTTGCTTAAAGTAACAGATTTATTCCTGAATGACTAAAGTTGGAATCCATCATGTTATTGTCAGAAGACCTTTAAGCCATTCTAGTTACCATGGAAAACTCTTAACCTCTAGTTTCTTACCAGAGATGCAGCATGAATAGGACTCATCGTCTTGCTCTATTTTATCATTTGCAATAACTTCAGAAGAATCATGATGGACAAAAAATATTTTACAAAGTGCAGGCAAGGGATGAAAAATGTATTCCCTGAAAAGAATGGGATAAACTGGCTTGCAGGAACTGAGTATTTGCTCTGCATCTGCCAGATAAAGTTAAAATGGATCAGGAGGCACTAAACATAAAAGTCAAAACTGGGCTCTGTGGTTAGAACATCTTTGCTCTAGAGACAGTTATGTTTGCTTACAAAGTGTGCAATAATTCAAAAATTTACAGTTCAAAAGCACAAGTAAATTTCCAAGTTACACAGGAAATATAATCACACATTAAAATATTTATAATTACATATGTAAATAAAACTCCACAAAGTCCAGCTTTCTTTCATCCCTGAATTTATCCCCAGATGATTTTCTGAAAAATTTTGTTATAGTTAGAAAATTCCCTTGACCTCAAGTCATCTTCTGACAGTTAAGTTGAATGCTGCAATTAGGACTGATTTTGTTCTAAATACTGGTTTGGTTTTTTTTTTTCAGGAATAGTCTTTAGTGCTTGCTAGTAAAAAATTACAGATCTTTATCAGATCTATATTCTATCTCTGAGTAATGAGTAAAATGCTGTGTTGTTTCCTCTGCTCATAAAATAGACCTGATACCTGTTCCAGAAATGTTATAATCCTTAATTCTTTATAACAGTAAAAATGAATAAAACCTACTTAAAGCCCCAACTTCAAACCTTAAATATGTTTGAATAATGTGGTTGAGAAGGCTTTCAAGGAGCATAGCTATTAAGTATGGAACAAGTTAACAAACAAGATTAACTTCAGGAATCAAAACAATAAGCAGATGTGAAGTCTGGTTCTGGTAAGATTAAACATCATCCATGGCTCAGGTCAAGCTTAGCTGGAATAAGAATGATAATTGAAATCAGATTTTGACAAACCAACATGTAAGTTAGACCCTGTAAATTCCTATCCCCAAAATATGTGGGATAAGAATAAATACAGAAAGAGCCTATTCACTAAAACATTAGCTGCTGCACAGTTCAGTCTTCTCAGGTATAAATTGTGATGGGCTTTGAACTTGCCTGTAACCTTCAATCTATGTCCCCCTATATACATCCATATTAGCAGAGCAGTTCCTGTTGCTCAGTCATGAAGGTCACCCAGCTTCCAAAGAAGTTTTACTTCTTAGTGAGAAAACTGTTAAGGACTTCAATCCCCTTGTAGAACTGTGTAAGCCAAGGAGGGGATGATGTATCTATCATTAACATCTCTTATACGGAGCTATTTAGAGCTATTTTTGTACAAACTCCGCTTGCAATTTACTTTGTTCACTGTTTGAATACAGTTTTAGTGGACATAGGCAAAGTCTACACTGGAAGCTGCGGATTTGTTGTACTCTCCAGTGTATTTGCCGTCTGTTTTCTTTCCAACATCTGTGGCTCAAACATTGTTCAGGGAAACGCAGACAAATGGTCTGATAAACCTTGAAGCTACAAAACCTAACAAGAACTGTTGGTACACATTGGGCATGCCAATATATATATAGTGTTGTTCACAGTCTGTATGTCAAGGAAGATTTAATTATCCTAAATTCAACAAACAGCTGCTTCCTTCATGGACACAGAAATACATCTGCATGCACTTTATTGATGATCACTGTGCTGCTTTTGTAAATCCTGCCGGTTGTTAATGAAAATGGGTGCATTAAAGTACATTTTGCTATTCATCAAGGCGAAAAAAAAGAAAAAAAACAGAGGAAAACATTTAGTAGGGCTTCTTTGCTGACATTCTTAAGATGTGCTGGTATTTGTAGTGGTTGGAAGTACTGCTGGATTAGACAAAGGCCAGAGTTTGGAGGTCTCAGAGATGAGCATCTCAGAGATTAGAAGCTGAGACATCTTCAAATTAAGTCTGTAATTTTATTTCAGCTTAGTTTGTAAAAAATGGTGAGCTCTAATGGTTCTGTGCCTCTGTTTAGTATGGTGGATAGCAACTTTTGCTGGTACATAACATTTTCTGGCTGAAGATAGCTGATGACAGAACAGAGCAGCAGAAAGATTTATAAGAGCTGCCAGAAATTAATAAAACCTTCTTTGCATTAAGAAGTAGCAGGACAGCAGTGTTAAAAATAAGATAGCTCTGTGTGTATTGTATTGCTACTAGTACAAATTATTAAGTGTATTATCTCTATGTAGTAATTACAATATATGTTTCAGTGATTTTTGTTGGGTGCAGCTTAGAGACGCTGATCCCAAACATTGTCAAGAGAAAAAAGAGGGAGCAGTGAGTCAGAGTGGTTCTCTTTGAAAGTTCAGGAGATCTCGCAGACAAAGGGAAATTAAATTGTAGTGACTTCAATGGTTGTGGCTTGCTATGTCATGGGAAATAAGTTTCTTCAATTTTTCTAATTAGGAATTGCTGAGATCTGTGCAAACCTGCCAAGCTTCTCTACAAGTTTTGTCAAGTACAAACATGTAACCATTTGTTTCATTTTTCAAACTCAAACTAGCAAGAGCAGGCTGCTTGGAGACTGAATGATCACACAAGGTTTTAGTGATAAAAGATCAGGGTCTGAAAGCATTTGTAGTTCCGGATGCCTCAGATGCACAGAGGCCTCTACAAGCATTTTTTTCTTCCGTTATCTTGCTTTTCCACTAAAACTAGCTCCCATCAGGCAGGACCATTTTCTCATGCAAGCAGACCTTTTCCTGACTAAAGAAAAAACCTGCACTTGCTGCAGGGCCAAAATAGAGCTTGGCAGCTGTGTTTCTTTTCTTTTTTCTATTTTTTTTTTCTTTTGCTTTTAAATCCACAGTGGATATACAGGAAAATAATTATTGAAGAATTGTGTAGGGATCATTTAAAGTTCATGATCTTTTTTATGCTGTTGCATCTGAACTGAGTTTTAGCCTTTCCACTTTTTCATATGTGTGTGACGCTTTCCCATTAATC